GTTATAATTTGCTTGGTATTATGTCATATATTGTTTTTCGCTGCGCAAGTGATTTGGGTTTGGGGATCTTCACCATCAATGCTGTTTTGTTATTTCTGTTATTTTCGTTCTCCTGCGGATGAATTATATCAAACTTTTATGCTCCTGGAAGTTGATGATTCATCGGGGAGGCTTTATGAGGAGTCCTTTCAACATTTTTGGTTTCTTAACTGAATGAGGGTGGAATGCTTTAGGTTCTCATTTTATATTAAACTGAGTGTTCGATAAGGGGAATGCTAGATGTGAAGTTTCGTTAACCTTTTGGCTTTGCTGGACTAGTGCTTGGCGGAAGAATTATTTAAAATTATAACCTTACATGTGATAATACAAGAACGACTATGTGGGTGCCAACTAGCTTATTTTGTAAAATTCTTGTACTTTTTTTTGCTATGGCCTTGATTTCAAATTTGGCCTACATCAAACTCATTTCATTTCTACTTTTCCAACTTATGGTTCTTATTGTATAAATTATGCAAGTCATCTGAATGAAGTTAAATTGCAAATCTATTTGAAAATATTGATCTATTTATGATCTTATTTTTTGTGAACATTTTTTAATGAATTCTTATCATTGCAAATCTATTTGAAAACAGGATTATGTGCCAACAGTGTTTGACAATTTTAGCGCAAATGTGGTTGTTGATGGTAACTCTGTTAACCTAGGTTTATGGGATACTGCAGGTAAATTGCCATGTTTCTCTTCTTTGTCCCTCTTTCAATTTGCTTTGCTCTATGCTTTTATATCTGGGGTGGGTCAAAAGCAGATATTGTTCTTGAAACCCATGCTACCTATAACCTTAGTTTTCCTTTTGTAAATAGGCCAGGAGGATTACAATAGATTAAGACCACTGAGCTACCGTGGAGCTGATGTTTTTATCCTGGCATTTTCCCTAATCAGCAAGGCCAGTTATGAGAACATTTCCAAGAAGGTACAAAATCCCTCCGATTCTCTGTGCGTCTGTTCCGCTGTCTTAGTTTTTTTACTAACTATATAATTATCTTGCTGATATTTGTGTTTATTTACAGTGGATTCCTGAACTTAGGCACTATGCCCCTACTGTTCCTGTAATACTTGTTGGAACAAAATTAGGTAAAGTTCTCATTGATAAACTTGCTTGGTGATTCTCAGTTCTTTGTTGCTTCCTTGTTTTTTATTTCCCTGCCTATAGATATTTTCAGATGTCTTGTTTGTTTGAAATTGCATTTGTGCCGTTAAGCTAATTAAAATTATAGTCTTTGATTGATGTACACATTTTTAAAATTGAGTTCTCCTTATAGCACAGGGTATGCATGCATATTATCTCAGTTTTTCATTATGAAATAACTTTGGATTTTTTTATTTTAATTATCATATATGTTGATCCCAAACACTTTGAATAAGGCGTTAGGCGTCACTGTTGCTAACTGATTATATCCATTCCCGCATTTCCTAAATTGCCGTATGGAAGACTCCAATAATATAATTATCCATGACCACAATTCCTAAATTGCCATTATGATTTTTTTTCTTGTATTTATAGAATTAGAATAATTTTCTATTGTTAATTATATGAAAGTAAAAATGATGCAGGACTATGTAAATGAAATGCAATTTAACTTAAAAGGAGTTTGCACAACTTTTGATTTGAATAATTCAAGAACAAAATTACTAGCGAA